TATTCCTTTGGATATGCAAGGTTTGGAAGACAATTTGGGTTTTATTTGTTGGAAGGTGAATCACTGAAGGCTGAAGCTGATTTGATTAGAAAAAATTGAGAATTATGAAAGTTATGAAGGAACAAGAAGAAGAAGACTAGCACGTGATAGAATCTGAATCAAGAGGATGAAGAAAGCCAGTAGCTCAATGTAAAAGCTAAAATCAATCCCTCTTCAACGATGGCAGCAGATCCAAAGATGACTGCCAGGTTCACTTTTTTAATTTATTTTAATTTTTGCTTTTTTGGATTTAAGAAAATGAAACAAATCTCATTTTGAAAGGTGAAAATTTGTTGATTGGATTCTGTAATTTTTTTTTTTATTTTTAGCGTAAGCCTTTACACTTTAGAGCAAACACTTCAACTCGAAACCTTAGATAAAACCCAATTGAATTGGAAATGGGAGAGTAAGAATTAATTAGAGCATGACAAGCGGTTTTCTTCTTTTCAAGTGAGCTCTTGAAGAGTTTGTGTATAAAACTACAGTTGTCAGTCTGTGTTTTCTAATTTTCTATTTTTTGTGGGGTCTTGGGTGGTTGTAGTAGGATGAATCGGAAAATGTTGATGAACCCATGGAGGGCCTGAGCTGAAAGCGAAAGCCGGTGTAGCTTCAACCAACAATCAAAAATCAAAGAAGAAGGAAAAAAAAAAAAAAAAAAAAAAAAAAAGCAAAGAGGCTTTTTCATCTTCTTCGAGTGCTTCGAACGTCAAAAAGCCCCTTTAAGATTTTGTGGTGGAGGATATACTAGGCTTTTTTGGGGCCCTTTTTCTAATTTTTGGGGTTTTGAATTTGGTATTCTGGGTTTTGTTTGGATGCTCATAAAGTGCGAGAGCAGCAGATATACTGAATTTGGTGTTCTGGGTTTGTTGTGTTTGTTAGTGAAATCAGCGTTTCTATAACTTTTGAGATGTTTAATGCTTTTGGTTGCGGAACGTTTAATATTTGAATTATTAGTAATTATTCTAGGATATAAATTGAATAATGAAAACAAGTGAATTGAAGTGTTTCTAATTTGTATTAGTTGAAGCCTTGAAATTTAGTGTTTGTTTTCCACCATTCTGATACAATATTTAGTTGGGACATAGAAATGTACCATTTTGGGTCGTTGAAGTCTTTCATTTTTTGTTTGATGGAGTGTATTCTTTTCTTTTATTTTCTGTTTTTGTTGTTGTTGATTTTATTATAATATGACAGAGATACCTGGAATGAAAGCTTCGGAGTCACAAACCATCACTACCATATAGACTTTAGAGATTGGAAAAAGCAAAATCAATAACCCAAAGTATAATCAAACAAAGAAACACAATACAAAACCCAAATAGAAAAAACCCATTCGAAATTCAAGTGTCCAGAGTCAAAATTTCAAAGAGAAAAAAAGCTAATAAACAAGGGAATTGTTATTAGAACTTCAAAAATTTTATTCTACACTCCTAACTTTCTATATTTGAAAAGAAAAATACAGTTGTGAGGAATGTAGAATGAGATTTTTGAAATGCCAATAACATTTCCCATAAATAATAGTATCATCTTAAACGGTTTCAAACTTCCAGTGGAGCACGGACATATTTGATAGTAAAATACCAATTTAGCCTTAAAATATTGCGCGTGGCTGGGGTAAAGCATTTCCGAAAGCTTTCACTCCCAAAGCAGAGTTCACCTCTGAGGAGCTAACCCTGAATCCAAATTCCATATCTGATTTCTTCCAATTGTTGCTCCATTTTTAAAGTTTCAACTTCTGGCGGAACACAGAAGACAAATCTTGAACCGAAACCGCACAAATCACCTCAGAAGTTAATGTCAGACTTCCCACCGGAGATACTGTTCGACATCCTATCACGCCTTCCGCCCAAGGATTTGATTCGATTCCTCTGCGTTTCCAAAGCTTGGAATGCCCTCATCCGTCACCACCGCTTCATCGAAGCTCATCTTCAACGCTCCATCCAAACCAATTCTTTTCGCACCATTTTACTCGAGTCGGAAGATGGCTCTCGCCCATCAGATTTCTTTTCATCGGCTTTCGACGACAGTGAAACGTTCGGGCCAGTCGTCAAGATTGAGCAGCCGTTGAAATGCCCTGACGACTATACTGAGATATTGGGCTGCTCAGTTAACGGTGTGGTTTGCGTTCACAACGGAATGCGTAAGAATCTTGCTTTGTGGAACCCGTCAATTCAAAAGTTCAAGAAGATTCCTCTCCCAACCTTTGAGATTGAGCAGCAGGCATCCTCATACGGGGTCCCTGAATATGGATTCGGGTACGATTCAGCTAATCACGATTATAAAATTTTGGCAATTTTGAACTTCAATCGGAGGGATGATGCTACCATGAGTTCTCAAGTCAGTCTTTATAGCCTAAAATTCAACTCATGGAAAAGGATCCCAAAATTGCCTTGCGATGGTTTCTATGTGCAGACGGGCGATGTGGTGTTTTTGAACGGTGCTATGAGTTGTTTGATGCGGAAATCAGATTCATATAAAAATCGATGCAAAATTGTAGCCCTTGATCTTGCCAGTGAGAAGTATATGGAGTTTGGCACCCCGGTGGGGGATGAGGATGACAATTTTATGATGAGTTTGGAGGTCTTGGGAGGCTCTCTATGTATTTGTGTTCATGAGTTTTGGCCAAAATGTGATATTTGGATTATGAAGGAATACGGAGTTACAAAATCTTGGACCTTGCTTTATACTTTTGAGAATGGAGGTATGGCTTATGCCAACAGATATTTCAAACCTTTGGTGTTCTCAAAGAAGGGTGAAATGGTTGTTCTTGTGAATATAGAGCGGACTACCTTTTTTTGGTGTGATTTAAAGAAAAAGAGAGCCAAACAAGTTCGAATTTGTGGTCTGGCAACTCGCTTCGATGGAACCATTTGTGTGGGGAGCCTTTCTCTTCTTGACGGCGATCATATGACTGTTGGAAGGCAGCAGTAAGTCCCTTCTATCTATATTAAGTGGACATTTCAAGCAGTGAATTTATCGATCTGGTAGTCCAAATCTGTGAACTTGTGCGCTCCTTCCCATATTCTAGGCTTATTGATCTTTGTAATGAATCCTTTTCTCATTATGCTAACAGTGTGTGTTAGTTTGTTAGTTTGCAAACTTGTGCTCCAGTCATAACGTTATAATTCCATGTTTTCGTTTTAGTAGTTGTAAGTCTTTGTTTTATGTCTATTTGGTCTTATGGTGTATGAATAATGGATGACGTGCTACAATTTCATGCATCTAATAGACAATGTTCCTCACGGTCTTTGTTCTTGATGTCGATCTGGGAAGCAGCAGCGAGTACCCTGTCATAACAAGTAATTGCCATATAAGCTGGATTCATTCATGATTGCAAATGTGTTGTGGGAAATGACTAGAGGTACGTCTGTAAAACGTTGGGGTAGACATCCAAGGACGTGTGTGGGAAAACTTTTGTTGCTGCTGCGCACCTTTGCTTTCAAGTATGCCACAGCAGTTTCTCCTTCTGGGATCGGATGAGAAAGATGTTCAAACCTTTGCCTTGTTTTCAGTGTTCGAGACCCCTTAACAACTCAAGCCCATCTCAACACTCCTCGAAACGAACAAATATAACACTCGAGCCAAAAGATACGACTCGGCAAACGCTATAGATGGGCTCGAGTTTTTCGGGTCTCAATCAATGAGAAGTATGCAAGTAGACAGTTTAGAGCAATTAATGTCAAGTTTACTCACATGGTATGCGAATAAGAATAGATGAGATACCACAAGAGTCGGATCTAAGATCTTTCAAAAGTGAGAGGAATACTACTAAACATTAGTACTACGGATGCACAAAATTGGGTGGACCTTGAGTCAACAAAAGGAGTGGTGAAGTGACCTTCGCGAGGGTGCTTTGGACGTTAAGTAGAGATGAGATGTAAAAAGATAAGGGTAGAGAAGTAGAGACAAGTGTATGTGGTTCACCTTAAGTTAGGTTACGTTCACAAGGTTAGATATGCATTCAATTGACTTTTTGATTGTTTAGACGATCGTTTCCACACCTAAGTCCTTGTAAGGCACGTTAAACTATAGTTTTTTTCAAAAATTATCATTTCCTAATTAATTATGTTGGTGCGGGACACTCTTTTTTCCTTCGATCGGATTGAAAATCCCGACAAGGTTTTTATCAAGACCCTTTGTTAGCACCCTATTCTCATTGATGTACATACCCATTTCTTATTAATGAATATCGTACCTTTAAAAAAATATGCAATCTATCTTGATTAAGCCTTTAACATGTAGTATTCTTTACGTTCGAGAAAACAAGCGAACTAGGTAAATCATTACTCTATGAAGCAATAATGTAATTGATCACACTTAATAGCAAGAAGCTAATTGAATTGTATTACTAAATGCGATCAAATCTAGTTTTTGTTTATTTTCGTTTGCCCAAACCCTATCCTATCTCCGTGGGAACAACACTTGGATTGGTAAATCACTTTACTACGACATTCTTGTGCACTTGCAAGTGTACATCTAGTTAAAGTTGTTTTTTGATTTATTTAAGCCCAGTATGGTCCACCAACAATATGTCATAAATTGTCTCAATTTAATCACTTATTGTTAATAAGTGTTTGGATTTATCACAAAAAGACCCTAATAATATTAGAAGTTGACATATAGTATATATTATTGGCTTTTTTAGCCAAAATCGTCTATGAAATTAGCATAACTCCTTAGTTTGATTTTTGATATTTGAAATTGATATCTGAGTTTGTCCATTATCAACTATTTTGATCGATGAAAAATTCTGTTAAATACTAAACAAAATACCCTCAATTTAATAAATAATGAGCCAAAATGATTTGAAAAAAAATTAAGGGTACTTTTATCATTTTATACTTATTTAATAGTATTTTTTTAATGATGAACTAAAATAATTGACGGTAGACAAACTCACGTTGATTTCAAGTTTCAAGTACAAAGTAAAAGTTAGGACAACCTTTCTCTGATGTTGGACTCTATCGTTCAACACTAACTTCCCAAATTTTTGGTAGGCTTATTGTGTATTTAGTGGAAAACGTCTGGTTTTCCAACCCAAGAAGTATAATCTGATTTTTGAGACAGGGAAGGGAAAGAAGAAGAAGAAGAAGATGGGATCGGAGCGTGAAGCTGCAATCCCCGAATGGGCGTCAGAGCCTTGCATCATGGGCATCGATGAAGCTGGCCGTGGCCCGGTTTTAGGTCTCTACTCTACTTTCTTCCACTTTCTTCTATACATATTTCATTGATAAATTTCCTCCACTAAAAACAATGTCAACAGGTCCAATGGTGTACGGTTGCTTGTACTGTGCTCGCTCGTATCAGAATACTCTCTCCTCTTTGAACTTCGCAGGTTTAGCCTCTTCCTCCTTTTCTTACTTTTTTAATTTAGATTTAATCTGTTTCTGGTTTTTTTTTTTTTTTTTTTTTTTTAAATTTAATTTTTCCCAGCTTGGGATATGTTTATTTTTGTTATTTTTGTTTAATTGATATAAATTGTTAGTCCTTTCAGAAAACAAACATTGCTATATGTTAACCGTTTAGCTTATAGACTTCCACACAAAGCAAGCAAAGAAATCAAGGTGGTTCTACTTCATTGCTTATGAACTCATGAGATTCTTGTCGATTTATGGATATTAGTTGAAGTCAACTTGAACTTGGTTGACTTACGTTCACGCCGGACCCTAGTCTAAGATATAGAGCAAAATGCAGTTGGGATGCCCTAGGATCAATTAATTGGTGAGATGACCTTTTCATCTACACAGTTCTACTTGGTGTTTTCAACCATGTTTACCCTAATTAGGTATTTTGGAGTGAATATCACTTTCCCTGGAAATTCTAAGCTCATTGTGTTCGAATATTGCATCAGAAGTCATATCCCTCCCTGTGTTTTTTAGTCCCGTTTTGCTTCCTGCAGATTCAAAGACATTGAAGGAAGAGAAGAGGGAGGAATTGTTTGAGAATTTAAAGGCTGATGAATCCATTGGGTGGGCTGTTGATGTCATAGATCCGAGGGAACTTTCGGCCAAAATGCTAAAGAAGTTAGTACTGACATGGATTCTTTTTCCTATGTCAATCACAGGCCAGTGTTTTCTTATCTGACTTCTTTGGTTTGTTTTGAGACAGAAGTAAGATAAACCTTAATGAAATATCACATGACTCCGCCATGGGTCTTGTCACAAAGGTCCTAAACATGGGAGTGCTTCTAACCGAGGTAAACTCGTTGTAGCTTAAAGAGATTACTGGTGATATACAAGTGTTTTTATGTATATGCATACCAGTCTCAGATCCCAAATACTTTTGAATTGATTTTACGACACATTATTGATGAACAAAAAAAGAAGACTGCATATTCTTGACTCTGAAACACAAAAATGTTGTGAGATATAGTTTTCTGTTGTAAGCTCCTGGATTATCTGCTGACGGTAAACTTTTATACTATTTGACAGAATCCGTAATAGGATCTTTCATTAGGTTAATCTAAAAGTAAATATATATGGTGAATATTATACAAAACAACATAAACAAGAAGTACGCAGATTAGTAATTAGAATGAGACAATGAACAAGGTGAAGGCTTTTTTATTGGTAAGTTTTCCTTGTGCATCCTTGTATAAAAGTTACAATCCTTATTTAACCATTCAATTTTCCCCAATCTTATCTAAACTTTTGTCTTCTATTTCTTCTTCTATTTTTACTTCAATTCTTTATTGCAAGCTTCTGAAGGGTTTATCCAAAACTTCCTCTCAGTCAAGTAGTTCCTTGGAAATCAAGAGGCTTGACGGAGTAGTCCTTTGGGAATTCAAAGCTAGTGTTGTTAGATTATTCTTGAAAAGTTAGAAACCTAGAAAAGTGGTTGAAAAATTTAAGAATATATGTTTCAGGTTTATGTGGATACAGTGGGTGATGCTGAGAAGTATAGAGCTAAACTGTCTGATAGATTCCCATCTGTCAAGTTTGTGGTTGCGAAGAAGGCTGATAGCCTTTATCCTGTTGTCAGTGGAGCGAGCATAGTTGCAAAAGTAATTACCTTTACCTTGGGTAACTCACCTTGGGTAACTCTGCTGAAAGTCTCTGGCGGAGGTATTAATTTTAATTTTCATTCAATTGTTCAGGTTACAAGAGACAGAGCGTTGCGTGAGTGGGTGCTCGAGGAAACAGCTGAAGACTTGCATAAAGACTTTGGTTCTGGATATCCTGGAGGTGAGACGTTTATGCTTTATTTATTTTAGTCTCTTTGTAAACATCATTTAATTACTATACTATGAGGAATCTGGTTTCATTTTTACAGATCCGAATACAAAGGCATGGTTGGAACATCACAAGCACTTCGTTTTTGGATTCCCATCATTGGTTCGTTTCAGCTGGGGTACATGCACTCCTTATTTCAAAGACATTGCGGAAGTTTTATGGTCAGTTCCCCTGCATGTTTTCGACAAATTCTTTCCCAATATGTAATAGTTCATTTATGTGAATGTACCTGCTCATTTATAGACTTTTAAAATGTCAGTTGTATAAGTATGGAGTTGACATCGGTCATATTCCAGTGAAACCAAGCTCTGAACATATCTATGGTATAAAATCTGTATAGGTCGAAACTAGAATTTCGGATTTTTTGGTGGACATGTTGGTAAAAATTAAAGAAGACGACAAAAATTTGCTTTACATTAGGAATAAATGAAGTTTCTTGAAACTGTAACCGAATCAATTATGCATCAATAAACATGTAAACTTGCTGGTTCACTTGTACATTGTTGGGTTTGAGTGATTTTCAAATCTAAATGGTCTTGGAGTCGAACTGGCTGCTATAATTGATATTAAAAGAGAAACATGTAAACTTTATAATTGATTTGTTCGTGCCTGTATCACTTGGTTATTGTACAGTGAACTTTTAATCAAGCACGTATAAATGCACTTATGACTTTCTATTTGATTTGTGAACAACCCATTTCCCAATCCTGGACATCTAAATAAAACTAGCAATCCTTGTAGATACAAATTGTCTGGTGAAGTTCTTGTGCATGCTAATTTAGATTGGATTTTGAAATTTTGAATATTTTTTTCATAGGGAATCCGATGAAATGGATGAAGATGGTTCTAGCACTGCTAATGGCAAGCGGCAAATGAAACTAAGTAGTTTTGGTGTTACAACATCCAAGAGAAAGATCGAAGAAATTGAATCAAGTGGTAAAGGGCGCTGCAAATTTTTTCTTGCACGTAAACTTGAGCAAGTTACTCAATTCTAAGTGAAAGGTTTGACGCTTTACTATTTGTGTTCTTGCTTCCCTCCACTTATTTGTCTTCCTTGATTCAAGTCAGAAAATCGTCCAAACCTTCATCGCTGTTATCATGGTAAGAAATGCAAATGAAATTTTTAACTGAATGAAGAGATTATTTATTTATTTTGAGTGAATGGTGACAAGAATTTGACTGAGTAGTATGATGAAGTTTTTGTTTTTAACAAAATATCTGTATTGAGTCCATTGTATGGCAGTTTTGGAATTAACTTGCAGTGGTGCATTTGCTAAGAATTATTTAGTTCCGTACACTTTGAAGACCATTTGGAAGCCGCCATCACCTAGCATACTTGTGTAAAATGTACTATTGAAAGAAGCATTTCGAGTAATACTTGCATCTTGTCGTGTGCCTTAGATATCATTGACGCGCAAGATGCGCATACCTGAATTAATAACAGAGCGTTGTTTAGGCAATAATTCTTATCACAGTTTTCCCAACGTTTGTGGGAGTGTATCAAGAAGCCATATTACAGTTTCTGCATAATGCCAGCAAGAAACACCATAATTTCAATTTAGTATTGGAAAGCTATACATAGATGGACAAGAGATGTCCAGGTGGATGCAAACAAGGTGGGTGGTCCAATGCATTTCTTCTTGCTGTTGGCGGCACCATAGTGGCTGTTATGGTGGCGATTACTCGCTCAACTTGCTGTGTTACAGGTATAAACGTTGAACCTTAGTGTGTATGGAGATCTGGACCTGCCGTTATTTCGATTCTCCTCAAAACCAATTGATCCACCAGCATTTGCAGTTGCATGACTGCATCCATGTTCGAATTTGCTGCTGAGTGCTATTCTGCTCTATATTTTCACTATCATCATCACTACCATTGCTGTCATGCACATTTGCACCTTCATCTGTGATGTATCTTTCGTCATTACCTAGTACTGAAACTTGTCCAACAAAATAGACAAGTGAGTCTTAGTTATTTGGTATGGTATAAGTCATAGAATCTTCGATGCCTAAGATTTAGAGGATGAATGAGAATTCATAATTAAGGTTTCGTGGCTTAGGAACAGTTAACTCTCAAATGGTTAAAGGTGAACTTTTTGGGTGAGTTATATGAATTGTTATCCCTCCTGTTAAGTGAATTGCAGTGGGTTTTAACTTTGAAGTCACCTATGAAGCTATGAATTCCAATGTATTAAAAGGCGAAGGCGTACGCGAGGTGTTTTGTGGATAGCCTCGCCTAGGCGTGAGGCGAAGCCTTACTGGACCTTAAATAATAGGGAACTGTTGAGAAAAAGAGGAAAAATAGGGGACTCTTGCGGGTTTTAAAAATAAAAGAAAAACAAACTTGGCCAAAACGACGTCGTATTGAGCCAAGTCATTTATAAAATAAAAAAAATAAAGAATTCCTCTTCTTCTTTGCGATCATCTTCCTTGTGAAGACACCGCACACCCTGCAACCCTAAATAGAGCTATTGACTTCAATTTACCCAGACAACAGAGCCATTTGACTTCAATTTCGGATCGCTGATGGATCTAGGAAAGCCCACCAACTGTCTTTAGGCACGCCTCAGTCGCCTAAGCTTGCCTTGACCACACTTGGGTGAGTTTTCACCTACTCCCACTAGGCAGAGGCGTTATCATCCCTGCCCCGCCTCCAAAGCCGCCTAGGCACGCCTCGTGGCACGTCTTTTAAAACACTGATGAATTCATAATTTGATCCCTTTTTGCCATGCAAACTTAGAATTTAACTTGGCTAAAAGGGAGCGATCTAGGAATTTAGCGCTTCAAAGATAAGTGAAAACCAATTTCAATATTTGTTCACGACATTAGTTAATTAATGATGTCATCACTTTTTTTTTTTTTTGTTAATGGCTCACTTAACGTTGGTGATCTAATAGATATTCAATTTTCAGAATGTTAAGTAGTTGTTTGAAATGTTTTAAAATGTTGAGGCCAACTTAAAAATAAGGACAAAAAAAAAAGAGACGGTGATATTTTCTTTAATAAGTTGAATTTTGGTAACATTTTTGTATATACGAGGAGGTCAATTGTTTATACATGATATGGTGACACTTTATGTATAAACAATTGACTTGTGTATAAACAATTAACCTAACTATTTGTAAATTGTCATGCCAGCAAATTTCAACTTATTTATGAAAGTGTGACCGCCTCCCAAACTTCATTTTATTTATGAAAATGCTACTGTCATTTTTTTACTTATTATTAATAAATTTTCATCAAGTGATTTTTATTGATTTTTTTTAATCATAAGGGGTTTTCATTAAAGTTCATTTTTATAAAACAACGATACATTTACACTAAAAGTGAATGATTTAGTCTAAACCACAATAAGTGACGTATAATAATTTGATTTGTAACCTGCAATCCATAAGATTCGAACTTACGGACCACAATACCACCGGGTGGCAACTTCCATCTGCATTATTAACTTCATCAAAGAAGCTTTGTACACAATCCAGCAGCCCACCCAACCCAAAAAGCCGAAAAGAAGAAACAGAAACTTTACAAGCAGCTGGCAAGCAAGCTGAAGCTGCTGCCGGATTTGTCTAATCAAATTCATCAAATATGCAATGAAACAACTTTTATTTCCAAAATATTGCAAATTTGGTCCAACTACTGCCGGAAGCTGCAAACGTTTCTTACGTTTTTCTTCTTCTTCTTCTTCATTGCCTTCCCACCCAAGGCACTTGGCCTCTCTCTTGCTCAAAAACCCAGCAAGCCGCGCAGCCACCCAGCAAATCCACTCTCACATTCTCTCCTCCGGCTTATTCCTTTGTCATAATTTCACCTCCGCTTTTCTCCTACTCATCAACACTCTCCTCCGCTGCTATTCCTCCGGCCACTTCCCTCACGAAGCTTTCGCCTTCTACAAACATGTCCGGCAGTATTCTCATTCCTTTGACTCCTTCACTTACTTCTTCCTTCTCCACGCCTCCATTGCCTTAAACTCCGTAATCCCAGGTGCCCAAATCCATGCCCTGACTCACAAACTAGGTTTTCATTTCCATGTCTACGTCCAAACTGCCCTGATTAATATGTATGTTGCTTGTGGCTCTTTGGTACTTGCTCTCAATGTGTTTGATGAAATGCCGCACAGGAATTCTGTCACTTGGAATGTCATGATAACTGGTTTGGCCAAATGGGGTGAGCTTAAATTGGCTCGGTCTATGTTTGATCAGATGCCGGAGCCTACTGTTGTGTCCTGTACTGCTATTATTGATGTGTACTCGCGGATGAATCAACCCCAGGAGGCTGTGGCTTTGTTTCGGAGAATGGTTGTTGAAGATCTTATTGTACCCACCGGAATTACGCTTCTGGCCATATTCCCAGCGGTTTCTGTACTTGGGGATCTTAAGATTTGCCAATCACTTCATGCTTATGGTGAGAAGAGAGGGTTTAATGCATCTGACATACGTGTCGCAAATTCCCTTTTGGACTCCTATGCAAAGTGTGGCTGTATAGAGAGTGCATCAAGATTTTTTGATGAGATACCTGCCCAAAGGAAGAATTTGGTGTCATGGACGTCCATAATATCCGGTTTTGCAATGCACGGAATGGGGAAAGAAGCTGTCGAGAATTTTTTAAGTATGGAGAAAGTTGGTTTTAAACCAAATCGAGTGACATTCTTGAGTATTTTCAATGCTTGCAGTCATGGAGGATTAATAGATGAGGGGCTGAACTTCTTTGGGAAGATGATCAACGGGTATGAAATTGCAGTGGATATCAAACACTACGGGTGTTTAATAGATATGCTAGGGAGGGCAGGAAGATTAGAAGAAGCAGAAAAAATGGCTTTGGAGATTCCTTGCAATATTGTTAATGTTGTGATTTGGAGGACGCTTTTGGGTGCTTGTAGCTTTCATGGTAATGTGGAGATGGGCGAGAGGGTGACGGAAAGGGTACTGGAGATGGAGAGAGGATATGGAGGGGACTACGTGCTTATGTCCAACATCTTAGCTGGTGTTGGAAGGTATAGTGATGCCGAGAGAATGAGAAGCTTGCTAGATGAGAGGAACGCCTTCAAACTTCCAGGGCATAGTTTGGTCTAACTGGTGTTGAAGATGCACAACCAGGGTTGAGAGAGATTATAAATGCTATGATAGCTCCTGCCACTGTTCGTGCTTCCTTGGAGATATTGTTGGAAATGTGCTCTAAAACCAATCATATGATGATACTTTACGGACATTTCAAACTAATATAGTTTAAATGTAAAGGGCAAAGATTATTGTTTGAGCCGTCTCATATAAATGTTATATGCTTAAACGATAAGTCCAAGGAATATGTGATTGGAAGAATGCGATCTAAAGAAGTTAGATTCATGAGACCATTCTTTCGTTGACACATCCTAAACGTTCCTGATCATAGGATTGTCAATTGGGCATTGACAGTCCGTTAAAATCAGTACGTGCTATGTCTTCTCTCAGGGAGAGTGACTAGTCTCGAGTCATTGGTGTGTGTGACATCAAGACAAGTACGTAGGTGCTCAATAGAGAATGAGTTCACTGAACACGATCAACGAAGAGTTCTCATATTCATGTCACATGAGAACTCATGGTTGGGATAATGCAAATTAGTCTTTTGACCTGAGGCATCACAGTTGTCTTGTGGTTAGGTCCTTAATCTTTGATTATGTCAAAGTCACTCCATCAGGAGGGTGTCCAAGGCATCGTTGGGGTTAAGCCACTTAGCCATGAAGGCAAGTGAATGCGCAACAAGGGATCTCTAACCTTCAAACTGTTTGAGGGAGAATACTCTATGATATGATTAAGAATCTTTGGCCAAAGTATGAATGAGATTTAGGAATGTGTTCCAAATCACATTCAAGGTAATCATATAAGCACAAGACTCACATTGGATAGTAGACATGAATAAACTATCAAACCAAACAATGTGGTCAAGAGTATTGTATTAGAGAAAGACCGTATTGCATTTGTAATCCTAAAACTGAATAGGTTCTCCACCTCTTCTGATTAGCTTGGGTAACCATGACATGCTGCTAGGCGTCAACCATGGTTTGTAGAAGCCCTAAAAGTGTATTATCACTAACGGGAGAATTGAAAGTAAGTTTCAATTCACAATCGATTAGAAAGAGTTTTAATCGCCCACTGCCTCGCTAAAAGGAACCTAATGGATCGTTCACCGAGTAAGGTAGAGTTTGAAGAAACAACGGAGATGAGTAAGAATAATTAAATGGTTTAATTATTTATCCAATGGCAAGGATTAATTAATATGTTAATTAATCAAACGAATAAGTTCGTTAAAAGACATCGGGATAGTTTTGGACCTTAAGGCCCAATGGGCTTCGAACGTCAAGTCCATTGACTTAAGTTGTATGACAACTTAATGAATAATGATTCACAAAGGCCCAAATAGCCCAATAAATCCCCTTAGGCCGGCCATTGAAGCAAAGGAGTGGTTTTGGACTTATTTACAAGTTTGCCACTCAAATGAATTAAGGAATAAGTATGACTTAATAGCCAAAAATTCATTAAGGGTTGTTTTTGGGGAAAGCATGAGAACACAAGCTCTCCTTTCTCTCTAAAAATTTCGGCCAACCTTGGAGGGATCATCTAGCAATCAAACTCCTCCAAGGTCACTCATTTCTTCTTCATTATGCCTTGGTGATGAATAATTAGAGGTTCTCAATTTTGGGAACTTGGAGAAACCTTTTCATCCATCCAAATCCATGGATCTAAGATGCAAGGAATGAAGGCCCTCTCTTTGGGTGATTAGCCTTTGCTTATGCAAAGAGGAATCTACAAAGGTATTGATTTCTCAACTCACTTTGTTTTGAGTTGAGTCTTGGTTCACCTATCTACTAGGCTTTGAATTTCATGGGTAAATGTTTTGTTTTTAAATGCATACAAGCATGATTCCGCCTTTAATTGTTAATTGCATGCTATTGATGTTGCTTAAATGAACATGTTTTTCACAAATCTTCCTTCAGATATCTTGTTTTGTATGGAGCTCATGTCGCTGCCCGTGGTCTTTCCTTCCACTCTCGTTTCAAAATGGCCAGCCATACTTGCCATCGAACACTACAATATAGGGCTACCTGTGAGATGGTGGGTATTATTAATGTCTCATTTCCCCTCCCCGACTTCAAATTCTAACAAAATCAAGGAAATATCATATATGTTTATTACTAAACCATGATGCCTCAAACTCCACTCTCTCTAGAAAGGGCTCTTTTGAAGACATTGTAGGTAATATGAACTAATGAAAGGGTGATGCCAAGGAGATCACATTTTGTAAACCACATTCGAACCATCTCTCTAATAGAGAAAGTTTGATAGTCGGTATACAAAATGTGATCTCCCTAGAATTTTCCTTGATGAAAAAATGGCCTGCCAAATAGATGCTCAATACCAAAGTTGATATGACTGACCAAATCATCATTAATATAAAATGTCTTATTAGGAGTTCATCATATGTCGTCCTTAGTTTAAGCCCGTTCTCGTGTTGAGTCGGTCAGCCTGACGTGTTGTATTTGAGATTTAAATTTATATCGTAGCTGATCATGTACGTGTTTTTTGGTTCGTACAAGTTGGTGATGTATTGTTCTCGTGTTCAGTCAGACCAGCCCGACGTGTTGTACTTAAGATTTAAATTTATATCGTAGTTGATCATATACGTGTTTTTTGGATCGTACAAGTTGGTGATGTATCATCAGCAAGTAGGTTGCTTTTTCTTTTCATGATCATATTTATAAAGATAAAAAAATTGAACGGTTATCATTCCCAAAGGGTGTGTAAGTATGAGAAAGAAAGAGAGAGGTGTGCAGAAGCGGCAGAGGTGGGGGAGAGAAAGGGACGTCTACGTGCGAGTGATTAGCTTTGAACATGCCGCCCACAACTCTTCTAGAGGGGTGGGCGTGCCTGGTTAGGTCCCGAGCTCGAAGTGTGTCGAGTCAAATAGGGTGACTCGTCGGCAACGCACTCTCTAGAGAGAAAGCGTTACTATGGACACTGAAGAGTAAAATAGATAGCAACACAGGCCAAAGGTGTGAGTATTATTGGACCCCATCATAGTCTGAAACATCTTGCTCTGAAAAGAGCTAATTAATTAACTAATCAACAGAGATATAGTCAATAACTAAAGTGAATCACTTCCGGAATCTGGAATAAAAGCATAAACATATTTTGTTGAGAAATTCAATGATTCTCTATGATACTTTCCCTTATTAGCCTTTAATCAACGTTGATAAGGGAGAATATCATGGGCTGATTACTTATACCAATTAGCTATGTAGTAGGGATCCTTGTAAGATATACATGTATTCTTATACAATCAAAGTCATTACATTTGAAGTAAATTTCAGAGCTTCCAATAAGCTATATTTAAGATATTTGCTACAGAAGCAAAAAAAAAAATATAAAAAAAACCTCTAAAGTGATCGTGTTGGGTTGGGTCAGCCCCACGTGTTGTACCTAAAATGTCAATTTGTAAGTGTTTGCAAAGATTGTCTATCGTGCTTGCATTTTGCAAAGATTGTCTATCATGCTTGCATTCGTTAATCTGTGTTTATTTGTATTGCTTTGTTAGAGAGAGAGAGAGAGAGAGAGAGAGAGAGAGAGAGAGAGAGGTGTGCAGAAATCGCATAGGTGGGCAAGGGGAAGATAGAAAGGGATGTGCATCGGAGTGATTAACTTATTGGAGTTGGTTGAATGTATTTACAGAAATAACCTAATTGTTTTTTTGTAAGGCCCGCATAGAAATATGCTACTGAAGTGAGTAAAGCTAAAGCAACCGTAATATTTATATCATTTGTAGCTGCGGCTAACTCTCCATGAGGTAACTGTATGATTTTCGAAGGTAAAAGAGCCCATGACCAATTCGAAACAAAAATAAATAGAAACATAGTTCTAATAAAGGGAACCCATAAACCATATTCTTCTCCAATCTGAGTTTTGCTCATGTCCCGAACGAATTCAAGGACATATTCAAAATGTTCATGCCGTCCACAACACTTTTAGATATGCTTGCATTTGTTAACTGTGTTTATTTATTGCAGTTGTATGAAACAATTCCTTGGTTCATTTCATATTACATTTACACGTGATATTTAAGTAGAATAATCTCAAATTTAATTAGATGAAGCTGAAAATTTTGCGATACATGTTGATGATTAGGTTTTGATTGGTTGAAACCATCTTTTAAAATATAAAAATTATTTTTTAATTCATTTGGCGCCATGTGATTGGTATTGCGGGTCGCACTCATGTACCACATTAATGTCCTAACAGAACTTTAACGGATTTGGACAGAACGACCGAACTGATGTGTTGGACCAAACTTTTTTCTAAAACATGAAGAATCATTTGTGATAAAAATAAAAAGCCCTAAAAACCTTTTTCTAAAGATGCTTTAACTAGAAAGACTGAATTTTTATTACATCACTTTCTTAAAAAGCACTAGAAGTGCTTCCTAAAGATGACATGGGTACGTATTTCTTCATAAAGCACTTCTATGAAGCACTCTTGGCTTTCCAAAAACAGCCCCAGTTAACCCATAACAAACAACTCACTCATGACCACTAAATAAATTAGACAGTAAACAAAAGAAAGGTTAATAAGAGAACTACCATCTCAAAAGTAGCTGATTATACAAAACCAGCGGTTAAGAGAGGTTAATTACATGGCAGACGAAGTTGTTGAGTATTCGATTCTGCAAAAGTTCACACATACAAGAACAATCAACATTTTGTACACCAACTGGACTACATATGGCTAACAATTGACGATTCCGTGTTGCTTAGCACCTTAACATTTGAAACCTCCGCAGGCAATAAGCCATAGTACGATGATCAGGATAAGGACTCCACCTCCAATCATTAGCTTCATTTGGAGACTCTGCAGCCACATCTTACGTCGCAATTGCCTGCCTTGCCTCTGGAAGCTGTCAGCCTGAATTCAATACAAAACATCCCCAATAGCACGTGAACTATAAATACCTTGCGAGTTCAAATCCGGTTTTAGATTATACAACCAGATTAGGTAAGTGATGGCATGTACCTGGAACTGCAGATTTTCTGTTTTATCAACCAGAAGTTCAATTCTCTCCCCACGATCCAAAACCTGCCACCAAGAGATGGGATTTATCCAATCAACTCAAAATGAACAAAAGTAGTCATTCACGGCTGACTCGCAATTATAAGAAGGTTAAAAAAAAAACAGATACTTATTTTCTTTCTACAGAAGCACCAAGGGAAGCAAACCCTCCAATTAGATTTGATTTATAACATTAAGGTATTTGAACGGTAGTGATATTAAAACACCAGACAACAAATATTTCTATCTTCCCTCCCACTCCGTTGTCAGCATTTCAGCATAATTTTAGTTCAGGTGGTTAAGTACAACCCAAACTAGTCTGATTCTACTGATTACTAGACTTGTGTTTCTTGCTAAAATGGATTTACAAAAATTCCATACGCAATTCAAGGAAGCCCTTAAATCCCATACGCACATTAAAGAACAATAGTTATCAGACTCAAACAGACGGTTATCAGCTATACCCGCATGTTATCTATAATAACCAAGTTTGCGTGACTATGGAAAATCCACCCAAGCTGATTGTTCTTCCTCACCCCACAAATGTCTCCATTCTCTTTTATATCCTTGTTTGACGATAAAAAACAGACTTAAATCTAAAGAATTCCCACCCTTTCTTATAATCGAATTGGAAGAAAAGTCATCAGATTTTCTTTATTCAACAGAGAAAATGGGAGAAGGGAGAAACCTTCATCCCAGTAAAAATCTGAAGGTAGCACAGCAGTTAAATAGCTATCCCTCTTGTTACCAGAGCAGTGGTGATGATTAAGAACACAAGTCTAAAAGCTATAAGACTTCATAATTTACATCTTTGTATTTCTTGGAGCAGATTCAATGATTGACTAAAATTTCCGGCGCTCGCTTCTCTCTTGGTTTGTGTGATGCAACCTAACCCCTACGGGTGATTCCTAGAAATCTACTGGCATAATGGTAGAACCTATATGTTTACTGTTGTTTTCTCTATTCATTTTATAAATCTTTGGATGAGTTTTCGTTCTAGAAGTCATACTTTCATAAAGACTCATCTAGAACAGATAACCAGCCTTGCCTTCTGAAAACTAAGGCTTTCCGGCATCAGGTGGAACTACCAAAATTAATGGTATAACACTATGACTTAAGCTGCTCCATCTCAATACGTATTATCAATATCCAACTCTCAAGTCACTCCCCCCAAAGAAATGTAGTAAATAAAAACCAACATTTTCTTACAAAAAAATCTACAAAACAAAAGAGGTGGTGACGCAATTCTCAGTGGAAGTCAATTCAATTGTCACATACAAGGAAGAGAATGCAAGCTCCAATACAAGTCCATTGTTAAATCTTTGATGCATACAGAAACTTAACTGAAACTAGAAGAAGACGGGGAGTTCAATAGAAAGCTGAAAATAAAAATAGACAAAATCAATGTCTAAGATTATCTCATGGGCAAATCCTCCAAATTATAAAGTGGAAGCCCAACATACTTTTAAAACAAAAAACTCATAAATACTCCATTTCAAAACAGCCAAACCCCTAATGGCAAAGTATTGTCAGCAGGTTACCCTCAGAAAAATGATCAATAAAGTTATGAGTACTAGGGCATCAGGCCAAATTCTATGACAAAGGGCTGTAACTTGTGCTGAAAACACACCATTCTATGCATAAAATAACCATATCTTCATAAAGTTCCTCAGCCACGAGTATATTATATTTTACCTTCTCAATATTGTCCATCATCACACCTTTGACCTCCGTGATTTGGGCCTTCAATTTGGAAAGCTTACTTATTTCTTCTGGATGCTCCATGCAATATTGCATGTGCTCCTTAAGCCTTGGCCTGTCAAAGAAAAACCCAATATTTAGTTGCCATACTAAATTACAAAGAAGATTAATATTTATACACCAAAAGGCAAATACACACCCAAATTCTCTGTCAAGATTGTATGCAATGTTAAACCGATCTTCAAATAAGTCATCGTCTTCGTCACCATCTGCAAGAGGATGTGGCCCTGCATTCTTAATATCTGGACCATACCGATGCTTGAAATCCTCTTTCACTCGTTCAAGGAACACAAACGGTATAGTCCTCCCGCAGATTCATCAGCAACAACAAGAAACACTGCAAACCCATTTAGCTGGTTAGACCGTACATTCCACAAGTAAATCTCAAACAAGCACAATTGCAATTGTTGGAGCTTAAGAAAGAATACGTACCAAATCCACTGTCAAGTAGGAAGTTAAAAGTGTGGCCGTCACACGAGTAGGTGTACTTGCTGCTACTGGAAGGTAGCTTCTGTAAGCACTGAACAGCAAGAGTACTAAAGTTTCCGGAGAAGGACGTGTGTTCTGCTAAAACAACACTTCCTTTTGCAACAAAGCTATATATTAATCCTATGTGACTCATATCTGAGTTATCACTGCAATCGCGCGAAGATACCTAAATGCAGCGTTAGAAATTTGACAAGTAAGAAAAAGAATTATCAAAATACGCAAAACGAAAATTCGGTATTATACTTCAGTTGGATGGGTTTTCAATGTGCTTGAAACCCCCCATCGTCAGTTAACCAATCGCAATCCTTCAATTTTCTCGGCAACCAAACAGAAAAGGAAAAAAGGTCGCAAAGAAATGGGGATTATACGCAAATCTTAAAAAAAAAAAAAAAATAAAATTAAATTAAATTACATCTTGATCCGCAAATAACACCGAGAAATAGGGAAGAAGGAGCAACTTACTTGTCAGATTAATGGATGCCGATCTACGCAATCCAAGAGAGTGTATGTGTGTGTGTGTGTGATGGATTTAAGGGGAAGTTGCTTCGTCGGAAAGTTGAAGACCTGGAAATAGAATATTGGTAAAATGGGAAGTCAGTTGGGCGTGTGCTTTAACTAAAGGCGACGTGGTGCACCTCTCTGCTTCCTAAATCTTTTTTATCGTACATCATGTAATTAGAAAGTATTTTTAAATATTTTTATTTAAAATTAAATACAAACAGTATCGGATAAAAATTGATCGCACGATATACAATAAACCGACATAATTTACAGATTCCTAGGATTCTCACCAAAATGATATGAAGAGGATCATGTTGGGTTTTACTCAACTAGATAACCACCACGTCTTTTCCATCAAAAGATTGAACTCCAATTTTATTTTTACCCCTTAAATGACTTAGTGGTGAAATTGACGGTTAACAGATGAAATACAAAAATCATGTCTTGTAAAATGCAAATATTTAAACCCCGTGGCTCATCTTGCAAATTATTCCAAACATTGTGGCATAAAATGCAAATATTTAAACCTCGTGGTTCATTTTGTAAATTATTCCAAACCTTATGGCGTAAAATGTAGTTAAGTCTTCATTTTAATTTCTACAAAAAATGGTAATCATGTTGACAACACGTGCTTGAACACTATTGTTGCTTGTTAACTCAGGGTCTGTCTGCTATCCATTTTAGTTAACTTCAGATTTTTCTTTTTTTTTTTTAACTAACGAAATGAGGACACGCATATGTTTTAGTCCACATGTCCTTAATTATTGGCACGTACTTATGCCACGTAGGTTGTTCTCAGGACGTCGAGTCTGAAGAACATAAAATTACACATGAAATATGCACTAGTTTCTGGGAAAATGAGTTACAAGTTTTTACAAGTACAACATTATTGCGGTCTGCACTGGAACAGCAAACAAATCCACTCCAACCCCAAATGCTTTCTTTCGGAATAGTTCATGTTTGTTCAGCGGCTGCCAGAGTTAACACCAACTACACAGGGAGCTCCCCCTCTGGTTTCCTTGACATAGGAAACATAGTCATTATGGTCCATCGTGCATAGGGAGCTCTGGTAGCGGGTCAACCGTATACGGTTCCGAAGCGACTCAGTGATGCTCCCATTGTAACCAGATTTCCGCATCAACGAGTCAATTGCTTCGGTTTTTGTCCAACCTGAAACCAAATCAGACCAGACTAAGAACCAAAACAGTAACAAACACAAATCGGCACAGAAATTTCGGCTTATTGGTGAATTACAGTACACATATCGCATTGCGTTCCTTAATTTTCATTAGAAACCTAGCTACAATTGGATCCTTATCTTCAAACTGAAATTATTGAAGGAACCGTCTGCAAAGCACAATTTCAAAAATAGTCCACCTGACTTCTGTTACAATGGTGAGCGGTAACAGAAATCATGAAAGCGTACATTAAAACCTGGGAATAGGTAACCCTGTGTCCGCTAAATTTACGACTCAATCCATCGGGCTGAAACCTTGTCTATGAAGGATAGGGTCTTTTTAGTTCAGTACTAAAAACTTTGCTCGTAAAAGATAAGGTTGCTTCAGTTTTAGGCACTATAGCAGACGTAGAAGACGTAGAAGAATTGTTCAAGTTAGGTACCAAAGGTAGAAAGGGAATCAGTTTGGACCACGATGTCGTTCAAACCTTCAAACAGTAACGGTTGCAAAACTATATTATCATTTTTTAACAAACCTAATTTTTATGACCGCATGACATCCATACAACTGTGTCTGAGCAGTAGTAACAGCTTAGTCCAGTTGTTTTTCTAATGTTTTGAATCTGTTTGCGCCTTAGGTTTCAAATTTAGTTTCTAAGCTTTAAAGTTCAAAGTACTCAAACCCAAATCCTATGCCCTAAATCCTTATATATCTTAAACTTCAACGAGACTCAAGCAGTGACACCAATGTGTGGCTGAGGTGACATTACAACATAAAACTATATAAAAAGAATCATCCATATGAATGCCTTCGAACCGTAAGTTTGGAAAGCCTTACCCAACTATTCAAACAGATGAAAAACAAAGATTCCCACTCTCCTGGATGATTTTTTGCCCCTAACTAACTTTACCTGATTTTCTCTGTACCTCATCTTACAAATATGTAAACAGCTGCTGATACAAAAATCTATAAAAGAAACTGGTTTGGTTCGTTCCATGAAAAGTGGCATTACGACCACCTGTTCAATTAGCAAAACAGAACGTAAATAAGTAACAAACTATGAACATAAGAAACTTCGCTAGTAGTTCGCCCACTCAAAGGACCTTTGTCAAAATGCAGGATGACAACGAACCGTACTAAATTTCCAATTGGGTAAAGCTCCCTATATTTTTTTTTTAATGCTTTAGTCTTTTTTTTGTAAAATTTAACCACTCACCTTCCTTGTCATTTCCCAACTCTTCCTCCCCACCTTTTATAGCTGGGCATAGTAATGCCATGGAAAGTGGTATGTTTCTGTTTCAGGGGGGCCCCAAAATGGACTCTTATGAACCCATTTGAGAGGCCCATCACAGGCGACTGTCTTTTGACCAAGGCAACATATGCTTTTTTCTAGTTTAAAAATAAATAAATAAATGTGGAAAATCATGAGATATAATTGTAAATATATTAACAAAACAGAATTTGGAGAACTGAGCAAAGAAAAACAGATCACATTTTCCAATTCTAATTTTATTTCAAAGGTCGGCGTAAAATTTGCACCACCAAAATTTTCAAAGATACTACTATGAATTCTTCTGCTCATAAATTTCAAAAAGTCGTATTTTTGGAAAGTAATGAGTGGAAAGAATTACCTTCATGGGCAGCAATCTCAGGCAAGTACGTAGCGCTGCGCCTTGTGTTATAGTCAGGATCAGTAAACTCAATAATTATACCATGTTTTCCAATCTGCAATAATTATTAATCATGATAAGAGAGCAAACAAAATTTTGGAGATAAATTACGGAGTGAATTAAGACCATACTTCTCATGCATACTGTATCCTATGCCAGAGTATATTACAAACTTAATCTAAACAATGAGACCTACAGTATACCATGCAACATAGCTAATTAAGCCAAAACCATTAAAGATCCTTGCAAATATCCCAACGGTGGAAGAACTTGAACATACCTCCCAATCAAGGTAGTTACTAGCAGTTTCATAATCAGTCAGAATGGAAACTGTGCATTCCAAATAAGGTATTTCCTTAGCCTGTATTGGAGGAAACCTCCGGTCCTTCAAAGCACTACAGAAAATTACAAACAGGAAGAAATGATTAAAAAATATCACAAAGAAAAGAAAAACCCCACATCAGTATAGAAAAAAAAAAAAAAAAAATACAGTGCATTATGCAAATGCAGTAGGATGTCTCATGTATTCGATGGTTTGCACAAGATCTGACCTAGCTCAAAGCAATACGTGTTGTTCCAAAGTATATGAAGGATCCAAGGAAGCAACATTGATTAGCATTATGTGACAGCCAAATGTTATTTATTTCCAATCAAGAATCAAGTATTTCATGGAAGATCAAAACATATTGATTTGATATTACTGGAGTAGGGACTGGGTAGAGTTAAGGAAAATTAATGTGGCAAAGGATCATACAGTAGAGAACGCTTCACATTGTTTGACTAAACAAGTTATAGAAGAAATGTTCAAACATTGCATGACTTTATCCAATCCTACTACATTCTGAGGATTGAGTGGAGCACTGTGCATTGAGGCAAGAAATGTCTTTCAAAGGTCAAAGTTCTTCAGCCCTTCAGGATTGCTTCAAGAAGGTTCAAGGACACCAGTCTTGTCTTGATTTTGATCTCCACCAATCATTCCATCTAATAAAATCCTCATCTCAACATCTTGTACAAAACCGATCATCAGATTAAAATCCTCATCTCTCTCTGTCTCCTCCTATCCCTTAACGGTTCCCTTTACCTGTTCTTCCTATTTTGCACTTCAAGTGGCAGTAAATTGACACCAGTTGTTGATATCTCTTGTGTTTCTTATGTTAAAAAAAGGGCACCAAGTTGGAAATAAATAAGAAACCGTTTAAAAGGTCTGATCTTTAAAGATATATAAAAACCAAAAACGAAAAACCAATCAAACATAAACAAGTTAAGGAATCAAAGACCAAAAGACACGGGTCAAAGGTTAATGACAAATAGTAATGAAGACTTGGCAATCCAAAAGATGGGCCCATTCATGCCACATGATGATGATCAGAAGATCTTTTGATAAATAATTACAAGATTTGTTATAACACCTGTTTAGGGCGTAGTCCCTGAAGCCATTAATCAAGCCCCGAGCTTCTAGTGTTCCTATGCATCCACGCAAACGAGGCTCAGCACCATTCATCACTTTCTTCCAAGTAACAAACAATGGACTGAGACCAAAGCATTGTTAATATCAGATGAGAACATTGAAAGAATCAATGTACTGCTTCTTAAGCCATAAAGCAATCCATAAACACACACACTCTCACATATGGGTGTGTGTATGTGTTGTGTGTCCCAGTTACGATGCAGATCACCCATTCTCACGACTGATATGCAAGTCCACAAGTTAGGTTCCCAACTTAACACACACACACACACACACACATACTAACATACATACATATATATATATATATACATACATATATATATATATATATATATTCTATTAGCAGAAGGAAACATGATATTAATATTGCCGGCTATTTATCACTCATAACCCAAACGACAAAGAATAATATAAAAGAGCACATGCCACATAATTGGAGACGATGCAATATTTAAACTAAAAGCAAATAAATCTCAAACCAAGTATTGATAAAAGAAACTGCAAGACGTATAGCCTACGTGGTACATACACCTCTTTTCTAAAGAGAAGGTGTCAAGTTCAAATCTCCCATTCCTCATAACTGGTACGAGAAAATGATCGGATCTATCCTTGCGTCTGGTTCAAAAAAAAAAAAAAACATAAAAAGAACAAGGGGAAAATAATTATAGGAGTCCATTTCTCCTAAACACCATGGTCCAAGAACATTGTGATCACCCACCGTTCTACCTGAATCCAATGATAGGTAGTCAATTAACTTTTGTTGTACTTTTTCCTCCACCATTGGATTAAGATCGAAAGTGAGTGACTGCAATTTCCTTGGACCATGGAGTCTAGGAGAACGGGACTGATAGCTATAGACACAACAGAAACTCAAACGGCGCTCTCGCTTTTGCAAATGACTGCACTTTATTTTTCAAATAACAATACTACAAAAACAGGAACGATTCACTCAACAAGTTGATTCTCATAGCCAGTCAAAAAGCCAATGCTAGAAGCTAAGCCAGCACTCCGATCAGGCTACAATAAAGGGCCTCCACCTCCTCGTGCATTTTCGAAACAGAGTACCTAATCTGAATGGACTTCAATCAAGTATAAAACTAATCATATATCCTATCCCCTCTTGCCTAGTGCTGATTTCAGAAAACATGGGATCGATACACGGCCTTCCAACACCACACTCATAACTTGCTCACCGAAGACAACCGTACATGGCTGAGCTAATATACTTTGGGAAAATTCAGCAATGGCATGAAAAAATCATCTTAATGTAAGCAAGCCACTGAGACCGGTTCTATAATTATATATAAATTTAAAAAAAAAAAAAAATGTTATAAATTTGTAGTTCACACTTCACGGTAGAAGAAAAATAAAACAGAATTAAAGTAAAATGCCATCGAAAAAATGAAGCCAGAAACCGTCCTCCCAGTAGATACAATCTCAACAATCTTCAGCAAAAAGTAAAACCATGGCATTAGATTTTTCCTAAAAAATTAAATATAATAGAATTGAAACAAGTATGTGTGTGTACATTTATATATATATATATAGAGAGAGAGAGAGAGAGAGAGAGAGTACTGCTGGCCGTCGTCGAAAGCAGGGGGAGGAGGTTGGTCGGTGTTGTAGTGAGCGAGGAGAGTATCGAAGCAGTAAGCCACCATGTCCTTGTTCGCCGACACCATTTTTTGTTTATTATACAATTGCAATTGGTATAAATGATCGGTTGCTTCGTATTTGATTTGATCCCTGAAATTAGGGTTTTACAGAACGAAAGAATGGAAGTATAAAAACCAAACTTGTTTGGTCCCAGAAAACCAGAAATAATTGAAACAGAGAAGAAAGCAGGAAAAACAGAAAGGAAAAAGTAGAAAAATTTGCTTTGCTCGAGGAAAAATCCTCCCAAGTCGCCTACCAAAAAATACAAATATTCGCACCGACTTTCGCACGTCATTGTCTTTCACTTTTTTTATTTGGATTATTATACAAAATGTCAGAGATTTGCATGATCAATAGAAATAGTTATTGAGATTGAAAATTAATAGAAATAGTCTCTGAGATTGAAAATCAATAGAAATGTTCTGAGATTGTCCACCATCTATGATTCTGGTCATTTGTTAAAAACTCTTTGGGCAATTTTCAAAGTTTCGTAACTTCAATCGATTCTTAAACAAATTCGACTCATAATATATCAAAATGAAGATAATAAAGTATAGAACAAGATTATACCTATTTGGAAGCCCAATGATTGCCGGAAATAGCCGGAAAATAGCATGAAAGGTGACTGATCCACGGAAAAAGTAGAAAACTGGGTAAATTTTAAACGTTTATAACTTCTTCAACACTTCTCGACGAGATAAAGAGAATGGTATCTTCCTTTACTGCTAACTCGTTGTGGTTTGGCCGGAAAAGTGCTCAAAAGTGGCTAACTCGAAAATGGTTAGCCACTTTCAAGCCGTTATCCAACCAAATCACGACGAGTTAGCCTTCGAAAAAGGTACTATTCTCTTCGTCTTATCAAGAAGTATTATTTTCGTTTTTGAATCACTCGATTTGGTTAAGTATTGAAGAAGTTATGAATGTTTAAAGTTTACCCTGTTTTTGGCGAGTTTTCCAATTTTCTTACGGACCAGTCACATTTCAGGTTATTTTCCGACCATCTCCGACAACCATTAGGATTCCCAATAGTTATAATCTTATTCTACACTTTCCTATCTTCATTTTGATATACTATGGGTTGAATTTGGTTAAGAAACGATTGAGTTACAAAGCTTTGAAAATTGTCCAAAATCAATTTTAAATGAATGACCAAAATCATGAATGGTGGACAATCTTAGAGACCATTTCTATTGATTTTTAATCTCAGGGACCATTTCTATTGATCATGCAAATCTTAGGGACCATTTGTAGTATAACCCTTTTTATTTTTAATCGTTGAAAAGGTACACCTTAGCAACGAGTAGCAAGGTGAAAATTTTGGTTCCATTCAGGGAATGAGAATCCTCTCCGGATCCTCATTGTGAAGATTCCGGAGATCCTCCAATCACATTCGTTTATCGTACATTGTGCGGTCTGTTTTCGTTAGGTACTACTTATATTCAATTTTAAATAAAAAATTTACAATAATTTCTGATCGCAGGATGTATGATGAACGGATGTGATTGCAGAATTCTCGAGATCCTCACAAAGAGGATCTTCATTCCCATTCAGGTTCCTTGAGTTGAGTCGGGTTGGATTGGCAAACTTTATCATGTTCGGATTATGTAACACTTTATTTTGCAAGATTTATAAATGTTAAGCCAAATGTAAGCAATAAGGTGAAATTCAATTATAAATTTTGTACATTGTGTTTGAATGAGAAATTTTACTAATGTTCAATTATGTTACACCTTATTTTGCAAGATTTATAAAGTTAAATCAAATATAAGGAATAAGGTGAAATTCAAATCTATAAATTATTTATATTGTGTTTGGATGAGGAAATTTAAAATCACTAATGAATTTGAAAATGACTAAAATAATGAGGTAATTTTATTTTCTAAAATTTGTGAATTTTCTTATATGTTAACTTAAACAACAATGAATTTGAAGACAAATTTTTTTTTTTTTTTAACTCTCACTCATAAGGATTTGGAAATGACACCTATCAACATCGAATTTAAACTTTAGAATTTGTGGTCCCAAATTACAGTTTTTTTCCATGAGAAATTTCTAAATTTATATGTTTATAAAAGCAAACAAACAAGGGAATTTGTACACGTCAATTTATAAATTATGATTTTTGTCAAAATTTCAAATTTATTTCTCTCATCCAAATATATTGTAAGAATTTAGAATTCAATTCAAAAGTTCATTATCTACTCAAAAGTAAAACGAAATAGGCAAATTAACCATGCAAATGTGGAATTACACTATGTTTAGGTAAAGAAATTTAATATTATTAACGAATTTTAAAATGACGGTAATTGAAATGACGGGATTTTATTTTCTAGAATTTGTGAATTTTCTTGTTTGGTTAACCTAAAAGGAAAATAGAATTGAATATGGAATTTGTTATTTTTAAACTCTCAATCATAGAAATTGGGAAATGACACTTATTTACATGGAATTTAAACTTAGGAATTTGAGGTCCCAAATTCTAAGTTTTTTTTCCACGCAGAAATTCTAAATTTCCATGTTTATGAATCTAAACAAAGGAATTGGGGCATGCCAATTTATAAATTCTGACTTTTATCCAAATTTCAAGTTTATTTCTCTCATCCAAATATATGGTTAGATTATAAAACAATACCATTATCCAAACCAAACTCAATAAATTACGTAGGTTTGGTTTGGCGTGCATGAGTGAATTTTGAGTTGAACTCATATTAGGTTGGGTTAGAGCAAAGGTGGGGCCATCCAAACCAAACTCAATAAATGATCGGGTTTATTTTGGCATCCTTTTGCAATTACATCCTGCCCAATTGAGTTTACAAATTGGAGCTGATTTATTCAGCCGAGTTAAAATTTAAAAAATAAATAAATAAATAAGCACCTTAAAATTAGCATTTTACTTTCTTGTTGGCCTGAAAGTTCTTTAATGGACGGGATACAAAATACTCAATTTGGTTAGAAAATGTAAACAAAAATATTAATTTATATCTTTTCTTGCATCTTTAGAAGGCGGGCCTCGTTAGTAAAAGAGAAAATTAAATAAAATCACAAATTTCCGAAAATATAAAATGAAATGTAAAAGCAACTTTTACAAGCCATTTAAGATGCCCTTGGAGGATTGGCTTCCACGGGACACCATAAGTCAAATATTTCATTAAGAATTTCTTAATGAAATTCTTGGCATCCATAATGATAAATATGCCAAACGTTCGTGAGGATGCGAAGAATTTCATTAAGAATTCTTACGAACGTTCGGCGTATTTACCGAGAAGCAAATATAATTGCGGAAGATGAATTGGCTTCCACAGGACACCATAAGTCAAATATTTTCAATCTGGTTTAGTAATTTTCCTTCTATGGAGCTTTGAAAAGTAAACATATCACGAGGCTGCATGTGTTTCCGCTGTGAAAATTTCAGATCAGGATGGCTACTGCATTACCGTACCATGAAAAAAATGCTCTGCGTAAAAGGACAAGGCCCGTTCTCCTAGACCCCATGGCTCAAGAAACTGTGATCACTAATCGTTCGATCTTAACCCAATGGTACAGAAAAAAGGACAATAACAAAGTTAAAAAAACTATTTATCGTTGCATTAAGATCGAACAATGGGTGACCATAATTTCTTTAGATCATGAAATCTAAGGGTGCGTTTGTTTGGACTCGTTAACTCTCACTGGACTGGATAGAATTAGACATTATTGTTGTCTCGTGTTTGTTACGTACACGAACTAAGTTAAGTGAGATTAGAGCTGGACTCGTGCAATCTCCTTCACTAGGAGGTCTTAGCCAACCACCACCCCCCCCCCCAAAAAAAAAACCATGGGGTTGCTAAGACCTTCACTGCATCCCATTCTTTTCTTTGTGTCGCGTCCTCTCTCATCTTTCTACTTGCTTCGTCTACTCGCGTCGCCGTCGCTTACACTCGCAAACCCAGGATCTCTTCGTCTGTTCGTTTCTAAACTCGAAGAACGTTGAATCAAGTCGCATCCTCTGGAGGGCCTGCTTCCTCATCTTGCGCTCTCAATCATTTACTTTACTCGATTTTGTGGGTGAAAACTGATTTCTGCAGAAACTAATGTGGAAACTGATTTTTGCAAATGTTGCAAAGCTTTGAACGAAATTTTGGATTTGCAATTTGAGTTTGGTGGTTGCATTTTGAGTCTGGGTTTCGTGATTTGAATATGGGTTTTGCACTTCCAACGAAGTTGGGTTTTGTGACTCAAGTGAATTTGTGATTCAATCTGGGTTTTCTGATTCGAGCGAATTTGTGAAGATGTGCAAAAGATTAAGATGTGTTAGAAATAGCTTCCTAGTTGGAGTCTAGATATGATTGTAATCCTAATTATAAGTGTATTCCTATCTTGTAGGGATAGTACCTTGCTGTGCAAGGAATGTAATTGTATATATTTTCTTTTCTTCACGTATCAAATATATACTTTTTAGCCACACATTCTTTTTCTACATGGTATATAGAGCAGGTTGCAAACCCTAGCTTTTTTTGCTCAACCACAATTTTTTTTCGGTAGTCATCCCTGTCGTTTCTCCTTTTATCATGGGAGACTCTTCTTCCGATGGTAGCACCAACCCTTTTTATCTTCACCATTCCGACCATCCCAATCTTGTCCTTGTCTCCAAGAAGTTAAACGGAGATAACTACACGACCTGGGCACGCTGGATGCACATCTCCTTAAGCGTTAAGAATAAACTTGGTTTTATCACAGGTGATATTGAAGAACCCTCACCTTCCGAGGACCCTGATGCTCACACCTCTTGGAGGCGCTGCAATGATATGATCCTTTCATGGATCCTTCATTCCCTGGAGCCCGACCTTGCCGAATCAGTTCTTTTTTCCACCACCGCTAAGCTGTTTGGGATGATCTTCATGAACATTTTTCCCAGTCTAATGCTCCCCGTATCTTCCACCTGAATCGTGAAATTGCCACCGTCTCCCAAGGGTCCTCCTCGGTCTCAACATACTTCACTCGCCTAAAAGGTCTTTGGGACGAGCTCGCCTCCTATAGTGATGCATGTTCTTGTTCTTGTGGCACCAAACATGATCGCCAACAACTTATGCAGTTTCTTATGGGTCTCAATGAATCGTTTGCCGCCATTCGGGACCAAATTCTTCTAATGAATCCTTTGCCCATAGTCCGCCAAGCTTGTTCCTCTGTTTCTCAAGCCGAAAAACAACGTGCCCTTGGTTTTTCACGTACTACCGAGCCTCCTGCTGCTATGGTGGTGCGTAGCT